AGTAGTAGTAGTAGAGAGAGAGAGAGAGAGAGAGAGAGAGAGAGAGAGAGAGAGAGAGAGGTGCTTGTAGGATTATAAGGTATACCCAGAGTGCAGGTAAGGCACACAATCTTGTCTTAGGAGCTCCATCTGCACCTCTCATCTCCATGAATTTTTTAATCCTAACCTGCAAGGAAAGGTTAAAGGCTTATATGTAGTTACCGATATAGTGTTATAGTATCATACGCCATGTCTCATCAACTACAAAGCCCTGGCATATATACATGCATATAACAAACCTCTGGATAAATGGTTGCTAAATGAGTCTCCCAGTCATTGAATGTGGGTAGTTGTCCAGGAATTGCAGGAAGGTTGCCGTTCATAAAATCCTAAGTTAACAACAAGAAAGAATCGTACACAAATCAATCACAATCCATGAGAGAGAGAAACAAACGCTACCAAATTGAAGTACAAATAAATATGCTGACAAAGAAAAGTTATAAGACCCATTTCAAGAAACTTGTCACTTAGGCCTGGCAATGGGCCACGCCCACCCTCGCACTAATCCAGGCTGACAGGCCAGAACTCTGGCTCAGGCCCTGTCAAGGGACCTAGGGCCCTAGATTGGCCTGTTATAGGGCCAAGCCAGGCCACAACCTGGCCAGGACGAGCACTTCAGGCCTGGCCCAGCCCTCTGCACAACACGTGCTAGCCCCGGCCCAGGCCCACGCCCAGGCCCAGGCCCAGGCCCAGGCCCAGGATGAGGCTGGGACCGGCCACCCGGCCCACTGCCAGGCAACCAAAAAGAATAATAACTATAACCATTAAATGTTTAAGGGTAGATGAAATACCCGGAATGACATTCCAGAGCAGTCGATGTGCTTCTTATCCCGGTAAATAAAATACATAGGGACATCAAGAGCAAAGTTTACATAACCCTCAAACCTGCAAAACATAAACAGTCAAGGGCATGCAAAAGGATAGAGAATCTCCAAGACACCAATCCGGATCAAGTTATGAAGATTCTAAATTGGGTATCCCAATGCATGATCCTAGACTGAAACATCAGAAGATTCTGCATGCTTAATTTAAGAAATGAAAAAAGAAACCAGAACACACACCCAAAGGAGTCATCAAAAGCATATGGAAGCACGTAAGTCCGGTCATTATCATATCCTGTCCAAACATGGCTGAGACCAACCACAAATGATCAGGTTTAGCAACCAATTGATCATAATCACCTACTAAAGGGAATGCATAAAATTGATCAAAATAAACAGCTAGCCACCTTCTTGTACTAACATAACCAGTTGGTTTCCCCTCACAAAAAGGTGAATTTGCAAACAGGGCAATTGCAATCTGCAGAAACAAATTCAAAGGAGATCGAAACTCGTGAGAAATGCAGTAAAACTTTTAAAATAATACGATTAGTGAAAATCAAAAGCTGTAAAATCCTTACAGGTTGCAAGGCAAAGCTGGCACGGTACTTCCTGACCATGTCAAGCTCAGAACTGTAGTCAAGATTAACCTACAAGAAACAGGACTCTGTAGGCATCAGTTTCCAAGTTGTCGAAGTAATGTACAATTTTCAACAAGTCAACATTATGGATATCATATACAAGAGAACTCCATGTCCTGTTGACTATTAAACTTCTAAGCACTAACTAAAGATGAAAACTGCATAGACAAAATTTGTGTTACCAGAGAAAATAAAACTAATTCTAGTACGACTGTATCCCACTTAAACTTAAAATGCCAATAATGAAAGCTACAAAAAAATAAAAGAGATTTATATGGAGGATGCAATTCAATGGCACCTGCACTGTACTTGCCCGGTGCAGGACATCATGTCTGTATGGAATAGAACCCACTTTGGGCACAAATTTCCTGATTATATCAAACCTTTCCTGCATTAAGACAATAGAAAGAGATAATCCATTTATAAGATAAGCATCACATATTAGACCTATTAGCATTGACAAGAAAAAGCAGGACCAAATTCCTTCAACAATTTCACACAAATGGATTTCAAGGAATGAAGCTTCATCAGGAAGATGGAAAAAAAGGAATGAAATAACTTTAAATGTGGGAAAGGAAACAAGAACATACCTTAGGCATCAATGGTGTATCCTTCACGGACCACTTTGGATGAAATCCTAATCCCACAAATCCTATACCCAATTCATCTGCCACAGCTTTAACCTATTACATGTTGCCAGTGAACACAACATCAGGCAGATATTAACACAGATAGAAGAGTTGACCACCAAAGGAATATATTCAAAGGAGAACCAAACTTATATGGGCAAGTACTACTATATGACTATTAAATTTAAAACTAAAACCAATAACAAAAAATATTTATATTCAAAATACACATACAGTGATAAGAGTAGATATAAAAATACATTATACAATATTAGGGAAAAAGCAATCATGTTGTCAAGGATTCAGAATATCAGGCACAAAGTCCCCTATGTAGATCTCGTAAAACTGTGAACATTGAGGTTAGAACAGCTATAAAAATTTCCAGTTCCCAAGTTACTCATGTCAGATCAATTTTCGAAGACTGTAGGGGTGCTGGAATGGCTACATATTACGTATCCTTATTTCACGGTACACCCACATATCAAGTATCCTAATTTCATTACGTTACAGGAAGAATTTGGTTAAATCTCAAAAAAATTACTAGATCTGAAGGGGGTTAAGACCATAGATCCCCTGAGAGGAAAAGCTAGGAAATAGGAATACCCATAATCTACTTGCTAACTAAGGGCAATTTGTAAAAATCCAAGTTGTAGAATCGGACATGTGCAAAAGTTTATAGTTCCTTAAAATTTGATTGCTATAATCAAATAAGTATCTTTTATTTTGAAGGACATCCTGGTTATTCACAAAAGAGACAAAGTATTCTCTTTTAAAGTGGACTGGAACTTAGTTTCTTGAAACTGACAAACATTCTGTGGCTCCAACGAATTAGATGGCTATACTCCTCAAATTGCCAGTCTGTTTGTCATTACCCAAACAAAATCTTTCAAAACCAAACTAAACAGAAAAGAAGACACTGAGTGAAAGAAATGTGGAATCATAAATGATAAAAGTCCGACCTCATAAAGATATGTGTTAATCTCTGCACTTGTTTGGTGGAGTGTTTCAAGAGGTGCTCCACTGAGCTCAAGCTGACCACCAGGCTCGTAAGTTATGCTTTGCTTCCCCTATTTAGCAGTAAGATAACCAAAACATAATGTCAGATCATGGAGAACTCCTACCTAAACAATGAAAAGCCTACCCATTCTTTTCTTCTTTTTTTTTGGAAAAGAAATAACAAGCCTATCATCTCAATGCAAGAAAGAAAGACTCTCCACTTTTAAGGTATCAGTAAAGAAGTATTCTCTAAATTGAGATCTATGCTGGAATACAGAATTGACCCAATGACCCCATTAACTACAAGTCTTCAACACCAAATTAAAATAATTCTGGAGTTTTAAATCTCACTAACAGAAAACAAGAACTTAAATGGACATACAATTTTAAAGAAAAAGGAAAAGTCAATCGATCACCTGCTTAAGGCCTGTAATTATATCCCCTTCCATTACTTTATCCCAACCGAATCTTGCAGAAAATCTCTCTAGTAACTCACGAATTTGTTCATATTTGGGAGATTTTAGGGTACCAAATTCAAAACCAAAATTCTCATGTTCCGTGCCAATCCTGCCAAGCATCAATCTGATACATTTAGGAGACAGTAATTGAAATACAGAAAATGCCAATTAAAACAACTAAGGCAGAAGGATTTTCAAAGGAAAAAAAGAAACTTGCAACACTCAAGATATGCATATAAGGCCATAATATGATAAACACGACCCAAACAGAATTAGAAGCAACCCAAAGACAATTAGATATCAAAACCCACAAAACAAAGCATTGATTTACAATATAAATTGATATCATCAGAACATTTAGTAAAACAGGTGTATGTCAAATATCATAAATCAACCATCTTTGTAGATTCAGAGAGGATCATATTCATAAAAGGAAGCAGAACAGGTACCTCCATTGCTCTTTAGGTTTGCACCCAGATTCAAGGTAAGATACTAGGTCGGCTTTGGTCAATGGTTCAGTTGTAACCACTGCATCCTCTGTTGGGGCATTTCCGGCAACAATTACTCCATACCCTCGTTTCGCTCCAGTGATATTCAAATTTGAAGCTCTTTTTATTCGTTCGACACATGAAAGGCTTGAAAAACCAACTTGGTGTTTCTTAAAATTGGGTAAATTATCCTTCAAACTGCATGCAGTTCGAATTTTATTCCTCTCCAGTCCATCAGGTAATATCTGTGAATGTGGTATTTGGGATACCACAGCCATTATAGACCCCTGTAACTGAATCAAAGAAAATCAATTGTTGATCAAGTTAATTATGAGACGACGAAAAATTGTAAATTCACCAAATAGGAATGTACTATGACAAGAAATTTGCATTTTTCTAGGTGTTTGATGCAGTTTCATAAGTAATTCGAATATATGAAATGAATCATGAATCGTGTATACATTTGAGTTACAGCAAATAATAGATGGTGCAAACGCTTCTAAGTGAGCAAAACCATTTCAAATTCTCACCCAAACTTTTTACCAAAGATACTGCAAGAAACTACGCTAAAACTACCACATTTGAGATTCAGCGTCATTTCTTTGAATCAGATAACGATTTAAATCACAACACTTTCCATAAAATCATTCCAACTGATAAGCAACATGATTCCAAGGCGTTCAGAGTAGTCAATAAGAAATTTGCTCGTTATTTGATAAATACAGGTAAGGTTTTTCACATACCCCAACCCTAGATCTTCTAAAGAAGTGACAATGCTGTAGAGAGAAAATCCATTATCTCATATATTAGGATTTCCAGCTCAAAAGTACAAATTTGCAGAGCCAATTACCTCTTGTCACCATCAAGTCTACTTGGCTTGTGGCTTCCATTTTTCTCTGCAACTCAAAGTCCCTAATAGTCCCCTTCTTCATCTTAATCTTCTTTATGATTTCAAAAAATCTAAGACTTGAATTCTTCAGTAGAAGATTAAAACCCTAGAATTCAAGAACTCTAATGATGTTCTTCATGTTTTGGAATTCCCAGGTGAAATTCGAAACCCTAATCTCGTAAGATCCTCCTCAACCATTCTTAAAAATTTCAGAGTCTTAAACTGGACTTCAGATGACTAGAGTGAGAAACAAATCAAATCGTTAACTCTTTGTTCATTTCCTCTACTGTTTCAAAACAGTAGAGAGAGAGGCAGTGATCGCAAAATCGAACCAGACGGTTAACGAGACCGGAATCGGAAGCGGTTTAACCGGCTTTACCCGGAAAACTCCGAACAGTCAAAAAAATAAAAAAAAATGTTCTAAAAAAAATATATATATATATAAAATCTACTCAAAACATAAAAAGTATATAAATAAGAGAAAAGTTTTATATAAGGTTAGCCACCTTAAAATGTAGAGATGCACCTCAAAAATCTATCGAAAATGTTGTTTTAATATTAAAAAAACACTTTAATTGATCATCGAGATGGATGAATATGAAAAAATAAATAAATTGAAGTCTTGAAAATAGTACATCTTGCAACATATTATCTAGACCGTCTATTTTCAAGATTTTCATATATTTATAGATCTACTTAATTTTAACTATTTTTAGAATTTAAAATTTTCTAATTACGTATGAAAACATATTTTAAGATAATAATAAAGAATTTTTACAACAAAATTATATGTTATGATAAAATTTTAAGGTGCGCCTTAATTGGATCGTTTAAGGTTGCAACCTTTTATAGAAACCGCACTTTATGAAGAATGATTAAAACAAAGCACATTCAAATGAAGTTAAAAATTAATGAAAAAAATAGATTTTAATCTATTTTATATTTTTCAAAGGCTATTTTTAATTTTTTTTAAAAAAATGAGAAAATATAAAAGTGAGTATTAATGACCATTTTTTTTTTAATCTTTACCATAATGTAAATAATATTTAAAAATCCATTACAAATCGAAGTCCTTATTTTTTAGATTTTTTATACACTATTTTTTATTTTTTTTAAAAAATACCTGTTAATCACCCTAACCCCCCAAAACCGGAACCCCCACCAGCCGGTTCTGATCTAACAGGGCGGTTAGGGGTTAGATCGGACGATTTTGCAAACAATGGGGAGAGAGAATTGATTACTTTTTATTTATCACCTAGGTTTTCCACTTTGAAATTTTATGGAGTATGATACCGATCATTTTCTTTTTTGAACTTTGAGCTTGGTGAGTGGTACGATACTAATCGCATAATTTCACATCTATTTGTCAAAAGCGATTGTGACATCATTGTACCAAATTGATGTCCCAAATACAATTGATTTCGTTATATACTCATTAAGAATAACACTATTTTTTATAACTAATATTTATAAATTAATCTTCCAAAAAATTTATTATCTAAAAAATCTAGCTTTTTTAATTTTTATTTATTGAGTAAAGCATATGGTTGAAATAGTTATATCCCTAAAATTTTAGGCCCTAAAATACTCCTAGATCAGGTTTTGTCCGAAAGAGTAAATAGGAAGTATGCTCCTTGGGGAGCATGAAATAACCCATGATAGCTCTATTATTTAACATTTTACACATTTATGACTATATCAACTCATGATTTAGGATCTTTTAAAGGGGTTTTTAAAATAAAATTAAACAACATGAATACAACCTTAAACAGTTATATCTCAGGAGTGTTTTTATAAATTTCCCTTTAATCTTGCACGTAGAGGCTAGCATGAACCAACGGAAGTTCAATGCTGGAAAACATCCACAAGCTTAATTAATCATGAGAGAGAAACCAGATCCGATAGAGAGAGAAAGTGACACCGATAGAGAGAAAATAAGAAGTGTTATATGCATTGAGGGAGCATTCCTAAATTAACGGGACATCAACCATCCATCCAAAGATAAATGCAAATGATGGTCCCTCAAAAAAAAAAAAATCAACCTTGTGCATATTTTCTTTAAAATATATATTATTTGTATTTTTTAAAATTATGTTTTACATATGAATGGCGTCCATGTTAGGGATTAGAAATTAGGGTCGAAATCGATTTAAAAAATAAATTATTAACAAGGGGGAGCATTCCTACATTAATGAGACATCAACCATCCATCCAAAGATAATGTAAATGATGTTCCCTCAATAAATAAAAAAAAGAAGAAGAAAGAATCAAGCATGTAAATATTTTCTTAAAAAATATATTATTTTTATTTTTAAAAAATATTTTTTACATATGGATGGCCTTCATGTTACGGATTTGAAATTAGGGTCGAAATTTATTTAAAATATAAATTATTAACAAGGGTCGAATTTCTACATATGAGTCCAAAGACTCGTAGAAACCCGGTGAAAAAATAAATAAAATAATGTCTGTTAAGTTTTTGGAGTGGGGGAATTCTCCCAGTCTGATGGGAAGATTCCCAAGTAAGGATCGGCAATTGGGATTGGGCCACAATATAAAAATTCAAACACCAGAAAAAAAAAAAGATTTTATCTTGGAATGGCCCACCTCTCACGATACTAAGGGTGGTAATGGACCCGACTGGACTTAGGACCTGATAAGTAGACCTGACCTTAGATCCGTGTATGGATTCAAATTTTGGACCCGAATATTATTCGGATCTAGGTTCGGGTCCAGCCAGACCTGATCCGTACCCATGGTCATAGGGTATAGGATGACAATCATGTGTCTTTAGGCACAAGTTAGGCATTCGTATTATCACAATATTGGCAACATTATAGAAAAAAAAAAAAACTCGTAATCAAGGTATATGGTGGTGAAGAAAAGAGGAAAAAAAAAAACAAAAAAAGAACTCATAGTTATAGGGTGACAATGAATTGACTAGCCCTACGACCCAAATAGACCCGAGACCTGACAGGTCTGATACGGGTTTAAATTTTGGACCCAAATACAATTTGGGTCCGGCTTGGTCCAACCCGACCCGTTGTCACCCCTACTTGAGAGCGATTTTGGGTCAGTTACATGTGTACGGTTAAAACATAGAGTCAACAAAATCGACGGTCAACATCGATTCTAGCCGTCCATTTCGTTTCATTCAGCGCTGTCCAGTTGGATGAAAACTGGGCCACGCCCGCCATGATCGAGCAGGCTAGAGTGACACGCCTGTGCTCGAAGACGATGGTGTTAGGGTACATTGGTCATTTTAATAAAGATTAAAAAAATTTGGGCATAAATATTTAACAAAAACAATTATAATATATTTTATATTTTAATCATTTTAACAAAGATTGAAAAATGTTTTAGGCATAAATATTTATTTTCATATTTTTTAAAAATTATTTCTAAGATGCTCATATTAAAAATTATTTTTTCAATTTGTTTTATTTTTTAGTACTTTTTAATTATATGTTTTTTAAAAAAAATTTATACTAAACCATTTATTTTTGGTACAAAGAAGTCACAATTAATCTTGATTGCTTTATATGAAATTAGATGGATATATTTATTCCATTGACCAACCACAAATTTCAAAAAAAAAAATTTCGAACTTCGTGAGGTATCCAAACTATTAAATTTCACTTCAGATGGTGGTATATAATTGTGATTTCCTTAGAGTAAAAGTAAATGGTCTCTTTGTCTACAATCTTTCTTAAAATTTTACTTTAAATCAATAGTTTAAAAGCGGATCGATGACCCGGATCGAGCACCTTAAATACCGATTCGAATCGACGAATCGATGATCTGGATCGAAAATCAGCTGAATCGGTTAGATTAAAGCTTCAATAAAATCCGAAAAAATTATTAAAATTCATTATAAATATTGTTTTGTAGGAATTCAATAAGAAATGAGGGTACTCCATTAAGAATTTTCATTTCTTTGCATAAATATGCGAATATTGATATGTTCTTTCCCTGCGTGAACTACTATTTACCATTTAATTTACATCACACAAAAGGATAAACATAGAATTATCATGGAATAAGTATATCAATATATATGGACTACAATAAAGCATACAATTAGTAACATACGATCTAAAAATAAAATGACAGACGACGTCGTTCTTCTTCTTAGTCGCACTAGTGCCACGATTTTTTTACAATGATATTCACTTTAATTCCTCACGATAATACAATTTAACAACATAAATTTTTTGTGTTCAAAATTTTAAAAATTGAAAATAAATTTTTAATGCAAAACTACATTAAAAATATAATACAGTTTTGCATTAGAAATATAATAACATGTATGTTTTTTAATAAATATTCTATCAACATGCAATTTTTTCCACAAAAACTTTTACGATAAAAATTTAAAATATGGTTTAATACCTCATGATAATCAAAAATTTGTCACTATTTTTACATCTTTTTGAAAAATCACGATTTTTCAAAAAAAATCGATCATGTACCAAAAAAAAAAACAATTATTCACAGAGCCACTTAACATCAATCATTCAAACTCAAAAATGCATTAACAACAAATTCAAAAAATACAGTTTTACATTAAAAATATAATAACATGCATTTTTTTGCATAAATGATCTATCAACATACAATTTTTTCAACAAAAACTTTAACAATAAAAATTAAAAATATGGTTTAATACCTCATGATAATCAAAACCTGGTCACTATTTTCACATCTTTTCAGAAAATCACGATTTTTCAAAAAAAATCAATCATGTATTAAAAGAAAAAAACAAAAAAAAAACAAATCTTCACAGAGCCACCTAACATCAGTCATTCCAACTCAAAAATGCATTAACAACAAATTAAAAAAATACGGTTTTCATTAAAATTATAATAACATGCATTTATTTGCATAAATAATCTATCAACATACAACTTTTTCAACAAAAACTTTAACAATAAAAATTAAAAATATGGTTTAATACCTCATGATAATCAAAACCTAATAACGATTTTCACATATTTTAGGAAAATCATCAGTTTTCAAAAAATTCGATCATGGACAAAAAAATGAAAAAAAACAGCAAACTCAAACAATAAAAATTAAAAATATGGTTTAATACCTCAAGATAATCAAAACCTTGTCACGATTTTCACATCTTTTCGGAAAATCACAAATTTTCAAAAAATTCGATCATGGATTACCAAAAAAAAAAAAACGTTCTTTACAGGGCCACCTTACATCATCCATTTCAACTAAAAAATCTACCTCCAGGCGAATAAATTATATCCAATTGAGTACATTTTTTGATAAAAAACAATATAAGGAAT